CATCTGTTTGTGTTTCCGTCTGGAGATGTCTTATTCATGCATGGGCGTGTGCATGCCTGTGTGTGTGTGTGTGTGTGTGTGTGTGTGTGTGTGTGTGTGTGTTTCTCCATCTTTTGTTGTATTACAGTTCCATTTGAATTCAGCAGCCACACAGTGTGCCCTTTGAAAACGTCAGAGGTATTTAGTGAGTTCACAGAGCTTCTGTTGGCGTGATCTGGGCCCTCCTAAAACGGAACCCCATGCTCCCCGGTGATCCTTCTCCACGTTCTTTCATTCCACTCTGGAGAGCTCCCTGTAGGACCTCTTGTGGGGAGGGTCTGACAACAACCCGTTCCCCATCTAGCTACTTTTCCTTCATCTGGAAGGACAGGTTGGCTGGCTCTAGAATCCTGGTTGGCTGGCTCTGTCCATTGGTACTCTGCATATACCGTTCTGCCACCTCCAGGAGGCAGGCCCTGGTGCCTGGTGAGTGGGCCACCAGGTGTGCATGTCATGAGCACCCGTTACGTGGGGACTTGGTTTTTGTTGCTCCTTCAAAAACTGCCTGTCTTGGCTTCTGAAGTTCGCTCCCTGCTCTGTCGAGGTGCAGTCCTCCTGGAGGACGCCCTGCTTGCAGTTCTGGACTGGAACCACCGAGCTTGTTCCTTGGGATTCGAAGATAGGTGGAAGAGCCGTCTGCCTTAGAAAATCCTGAGGTCTTGGCAAAGGCAGTTGTCAACTTCATTTTCTGAGACTGTGTCCTAATGAGGAGGCCCTTCCTTTTGTCCGCACGGCAGAAACATTGGCGTGACTTTGAGCCCCAGAACTAGCTTAAAACCCAGAAGACTCAAGTAACCACGCACTCCTGACTCTTCTGACTTAGCTCTGCTTCAAGAATGGCTGCTAGATTTTCTTTAAGTCACTTCCGACTCATGACAAACTGAAAGGAACAAAGAAGAGTCCATAAAGGTGATGGACTCACAAGGGCCCTCTCCAGGGTTTACAAAATGAAATGTTTCCAGCCTCCTCTCTGGCTTCCTGAGCAGCTGGTCCGGTGAGTTCGAACCACTAACCATGCTGCTAGCAGCCCAGTGCTGACCAGGCAGTGCCACCAGGACTCCTGAGGTCAACGCCCTCATCTAGTCTAATCCCACGTGGAGAGGCGATCGATGAAGCTTTCCTTCCGTTGCCTCATTGGTCCCGGGGCCTGGCACCTTCCTTTGATTAGACGGTTGCTTATTCTTTGGGGGGCAGTGGTTCCAGTCCCTGTGAACACAGGGGACCCCAAAGTGCCTTTGAGTCCTCGCTCTTGACGAGCGTGTTTGGAAAATCAGCAGTCTTAAGTGGGTTTTCTTGGCTTATCAAATGTTCTTTTTGCTGCTGACTGCCTTGGGCAAGTCAGAATGTAGATGGCTAGCGAGGCGGCTGTGATTCACCGCAGGCCTCATCCCTCGGTCTGTCGAGCAGAGCGGGAAATGTAACTCCGCAAGAAATATGAAATTGACATGGTAGCTCACGGTCACTAATGGACGTGGGGGTGGAAGATTGCCCATTCAGCGGGAATGACGGGTGTTCTCTTTCCTCCATTAATCTAAGCTGACGTCCTGCCTGCTTTCCTGCTCTGTGCCTTCCTCTGGCGTCTTCCCACTGGCTCCTGGCAGGCCCCAGGGGACACTGTTGATAAGTCCTCTTTCTCTTCCAAAAAATAAAAAAGGGTGGGGTGGGGGGAACGTGTGGCCTAGTGGCTTTTTGCACTGGGCTGCTAATCACAAGGTCAGCAGTTCGAACCCACCAGCTGCTCCACAGGAGAGAGGGGACCTTGTTGGCTGATATGTTCAACCTTGGAAACCCTAGGGAGCAGTTCTACTCTGCCCTCCTGGGTCCCTGCGAGTCAGAACAGACTCAGGGAGGTGGGTTTGTGTGCTTTCCTCCTCTTACCACTAGGCTCCGTGTTGCTCTCCCACTTGGAACTTCTATGTTTTGTTTGCCTGTCACATCTCAGGGCCTTATGTCTAGAGGGGTGGTGGTGGTGGTGGTGTGTGTGTGTGAACTCTGGCTTCAACGTGTTGGGACAAAAAAATTTCAGATTGAATAGCTGTCCCGACAGCAGCACGGGGCCGTGGGGGAGCTCAGGGTTTCTGGGGCTTTGTTACCTGAACCTCAGAGCTGTGCGGGGAGAGTATTCACGAATGAGGTGGCCACTTAGGAAGTCGTCGCTACACACCCATCTCTCAGCTTCACGTTGGAGCAGGGATAGGCAAACTATGAAGGCGGTAAATAATGCGGGCTCTGTGGTCTCTGCTGTCATGTGAAATCAGCCATGGATGGTGAGTAATGGCTAGGAATGCTGTGCTCCAGTAAAACTTCATTTGCAAAAATGGGCATTGGACTCAACTTGGCCACCAAGGTTACACTAGCTCCTAACCTGCACACCCCTCCCTCATAGGTCAGCTGCTTTCCACTTACGGAGAGTGACGTAAGGGCTATGGCAAGATCAGGCTAAAGGAAAACATCAACAAGGTCACAAAATGATAGTGATTCTCTTTCATAGAGAAGGATTTATATACCAACAATTATGGTAGGCCCTTCGGGAAAAAACAACAAACTCGCAAGTATTTTTCAAGAAAAGACTTTCCTATGGTCTTGCTGTACTAGTCTAGCCTTGACATAAAAGAAATTTGATTTATTCTTATTTTTAATTGACCATTCTAATTGTAATTTCATCTTTTTAAAACAGATGGGATAAAATTACTTTCTTTTCCTGAATTTTAGTTTGAACTTCCCAAGGTGAATCCCTGCTCCAGTTTTTCACTATAGAGGTCTGCTCCCACTTTAGATAGGTTGTCTTTTGCTAGTGTTGGTTACACTCGGATGACGTGGGCCCCCTCTGTATTTCTGGATCCTTGTTTCTTCAGAGGTGGTTAGAACCACATGTGCTGGAAACGTTATTGGAAATACCCAGACCAGACCAGGGTGAGGGGTGGTGACTTCTTCGTAAAGAAATCCCAGCATTCCAACTGACGTGGTTCTGAACCACCAGCCTTGGGAACCGAGGACCTTTTCAGAGGCAGCTCTCCAGCTTGTGTCTGGTCTCTTTAGGTTCCTATGATACCAGGCCTGACGGCCACCCTCTCAGTCATCCTGTTGTTTTGACTGAGAATTACCCACTGTCTGAGCATCTCGCCTGCATCCCCGACTCTTGGAAAGCCACCTAAGGAGACAGGTGACAGCAGACTGAGAGGTCGGCAAGTGTGACAGCTGCTCAAAGCTCCCTTGTGCTGAGGGCCTTGTGGGTGGCTGGCTGCTGGTTTTAGCAACAGCAGCTTTCGCACGATGTGGCCCTCCTGCAGACAGGACAAGGGGGCCAGTCAGGGCTCATGTGACTGGCCCCAGCTACCAAGAGACTGAGCAGGGATGCTAGGTCTGACTTTGTAAGGTCATGATCTCTCCCCCACACTGAGCGTTTCCTAGAACCATTGTGTGGATTTCACAAGATGAAGTGTGTAAAGAGCCCCACAAGCTGTATGCAGCAAGCACACAGCAGCTAAAAAGTGGAAGCAGTGTCTGGCCACAAATGACTGGGTCAACCAAATGTGGAGCCCCGCACCGTGACATACTGCCCCACCACAGAGAGCCGCCGTCCAGTCGGCATTTGTGCTACAGAGCGGCTAGCCTTGGAAACATGGTGCCAGATGAAGGCGGTGTGACACCAAAGAAGGGTGACAGGTGGTGTAATGGACCGTGGACACTGAGCGGCTTTCTACTCCTGTCACCATGGAAAGTCTGGGAAACCCAAAGGGACAGTTCTACTCTGTCCTCTAGGGTCACTCTGAATCGGAATTGACTCGGTGGCAGTTTTTTAGTTTCTATTAAAATACCTAGAAGATAAACTAAGCAAGACAAGATCAGTGGTTCCCAGGGGCTGGAAGGAGGAGAGGAGGCGGGGAAAGGGGGAATCAAACCGACGGGAAAGGACTAGCACAGGGCACTGGTGCGCATTTGAGAACAGCTGAGGGAAACTTGATTTTCTTGCTTTGGTTGTCACCTCTGTTTTAGTCCACGTCTTTACCACCACCGGCAAACAGGCAAACGCCTTTCCAACACTCAGCCATGGGGGAGTGGGCAGGAGCTGCTCAGACAAGTAGGAAAATGCCCCCTGGAGTTTCGACTCCTCGGCTCCCCACCCCCCTCTCTCCTTGCCACAGCCCCAACAAGCGAGGCCCTCCAACGTACAATGAGCACATCACCAAGCGCGTGGCCTCCAGCCCGGCACCACCCGAAGGCCCCAGCCACCCCCGAGAGCCAAGCACACCCCACCGCTACCGGGAGGGGCGGACAGAGCTGCGCAGGGACAAGTCCCCAGGCCGCCCTCTGGAGCGAGAGAAGTCCCCAGGCCGGATGCTCAGCACTCGGAGAGAACGGTCCCCTGGGAGGCTGTTTGAAGAGAGCAGCCGGGGCCGGCTGCCCGTGGGGGCCGTGAGGACCCCCCTGTCCCAGGTCAATAAGGTGAGTCAACAGCCTGAGAGCCTGGGCGGCTGTCATGGAGGCCAAATGGGGCTTGGGGAGCTGAGGTCCCTCAAGGCCATAGTCGGGGAAAAGCAACTATGAATTAGGTTGGGGAGATTTTTATGAGGTCAGGATAAAAGGTACTTTATTTAAGAGGCGAGTGGAGAACCGTGTGTGTGTCTCCCCGTCTGTGAGTCTACAACCTCACAAGGTGATCGTTGACTTCCACAACCAGCCTGTGTCTAGCCCTGTGTTAAGGCGATTGAGCCAACAGGCATGTAGATTCTCCCTGTTTAAGCAGTGATGGCATACTATGCCCGCACGTGCTCGTGCACGGGCAGAATCTTTCTGGAAGGCTGCACAGAAATTGGTGGAATTGTTGCCTTCAAGAACTTGGAACCTTTAAAGTTTGAAAACTATGTGCAGTCTACCTGTATTGACCGAGCCATTGAGGCAGCATGGGAGAGGGGGTTGTTGGAGAAGGGCCCCGGGGTTTCCTGGGCAGGAGGGCTGGCTTCTGGCACCCTCACTAGAGGGAGGGACAGCCACTCTGCTTCCCTGGGTCACTTCTTCCTGCCAGTAGTGGGGGAGGGAAGCTGTCCCAGTGTGGCATCTCATCCTCACCGCGACAACAGTTTGAGTGTGTGGGAGCATGAGAGCAAGCGAGCGAGACTCCTACACAGGATGTCAGGAGGGTGGTTGTCTGTAGTGCTCACCGGAGGGATCCCAGGCTCAGAGGGTTGGCCCGGGGAGGTAGCGCCGCCCTGCTGGACAGACGGCTCAGGCGCTGCTTGCTTCCTGCTCTGACTGTGCACACCGCGTTGCGCCATTTCTGGCTTTGGACGCCCGAGCCCTGTTGCAATCCATGTTTTGTTCCTAGGTCTGGGACCAGTCTTCAGTCTAAATTGCAGCCAGAAAACCCGACTCCTCATCAGTCTGCAGGAAAACACCAAACAAACTATGGGATTCTGCTGAAGGGGACCCTGTCGCCCACCCACTCGGCCACCGGTGGCACAGCTGGGCTTAGACCCCTCTGCACGGACACCCCATCTCCAGGAGGAGGCAGGTGGCTGAGAGGCCCTAGCAGAGCCGCCACACCTTGGCGCCTCCTCCTCCTCCTCCGACACCTTCCTGCAGTCATCTTTGCACTTTGTCACTCTTCCAGAGCATTCATAACACTTTTGTACTAGCTCGGCCTGGACACGTCCATCCAAGAAAACTGACTTGGCGCCCTGTGGCTAGGACCCTAGTGACCAGAGACTTCAGGTCCTAGGGAGGTTGGCTTCCTCTTTTAATCTCTCTCTCTCTCTCTCTCTCACTCTCGGGTTCTTTTCACTCTCTCTTTTTTTTTTTAAGACAACAGAATTCTTAATAGATTTGACTAGTATTTCCTGTCGTAGTCCTTTTTAGCTAGACCAGACCATCCGGTCTTTGCCACTGAAACGTGTCGTAGACGAGTCCTTCGGTTGCTAGCCTCCCCCACCCCCACCCCAACCCCGGTCCGTAGGGTCATTCTGTTTTGAGTCCATCCTCCCCGGTGGCCCTGCGTCTCCCAGGGTGACATCCTAGCCAAATGTTTACTGTTCTCATTGCCTTTTATGGCCTTGACGACTTCCCCTCCCACCAGCTGAGAATGTATGGAGGTCAGCCGGCCTCAGTGCGGAGGCAGTGACTTGGGGCCAAGGGACCTCGTGGAGCTTTCCTCCCCACCCCTGGCCATCATCTCCCAGCCTGCTGCCCCCACTTCCATGTCGCTTTGGCCAGGGAAGCATGCACTAGACTTGCTCTGCACCCAGTGTCCGTGGCACTCTGGGCCGGGGTGTGAGTCCGATCTGGGATGGGGTGAGTCCCCTGCCCGGGAGCCCTGCATGGTGGTTCGCTGCATGTGCTGCCCCACCCTCCTGGCTGGCCCCCTTGGGTCGCTCTGCCAATGCCTCGCCATCATACCACAGCTCCTGCCGATGGAGCCCCTCTGCCGACTTGCCAAATATCTGGCCACCACAAGCTGCAGTCTGTAGCACTGAACAAACACAAAACAAAACGCTCACGCCTTATGACCAGAGAAGGATTTTGGCACACCACCACCTCTTACCCACTCTCCCCTCCAACTTCCATGCTGCCCCTGTAGATGACTCTGTGTGTACACACACACACACACACACACACACACACACACGCACGCGCCAGCCCAGTTTTACCCACACAAAACTGTGACTTCCTAAGTGGGCCTTTCCCTAGGACGCCGGAGAAAGGAGCCGCAGCTCAACTGCCCCCCTCTGCCGAGGTGGGGACGCCCTCCTAGGTGCAGTGCAGCTCCCCTGGCTCCTCTGCCCTCCACAGGAGGACAGCATTCCTGGGGTGCAAGAACCCCCCTCGAGGTTTTACATCAGGCAAGCTAACTAGCGGCCTTACTTCTGCCTTCAGTCTCCCACAAGGCACCTCTTGCTTTGGGTTCCCCAGGACTCTTCGGCATGCCTCTACCAGCCAAGGCACACCCTAGGTACACTGAAGGCTAGAGCCGTCTCCACTGCAGCCAGTGACCTCGGCCACCTGTCTGGCCACATGTCCACAGTGTGGCCGCGCCCCAGATTGCAGCCTGGCCCCGACCCCAGCTCCTTCCTGCTCGTCTCTTAACCGAAGTGCTTTCTCATCGGGATCTCCCAAGACTCCTCCATGCTGTGGCCCCTCCGGGAGCGTCCTGGCGTTGTGCTGTTATGTGTTGCTTGGCGTCCTACCCCATCCTCCCCTTCCACCCCCAGGGCATATTTGACCGAATGTTTGCTGAAGTTCTTTGTCTCTTGGTCCACGAGTATATGGAACGGTCACTGAACATGGGTCTTTGAGCCTTGGCATCTCATCTAGGGTCTCCATGAGCAATGGCCTCTTAAGCCCTGAGTGTGCACCCCGAGTCTCATCTGTGAAGCGCTTCCCGCTATAGAACTAGCTCAAAAAGTCGACTGTACATATTTACAAGAAACTTTATATTCGTAAAAAAAAAAAAGAAAATAAGGAAATTGAATTGGTTTCTACTTTTTTATTGTAAAAGGTGCATTTTTTCAACACTTACTTTTGGTTCCCAACGGTGGTAGCCCGTGGATGGCCGTCCTCCCTGGATTGTGGTGGGGAGCCCCATGTGACCACCAAGATCCCAGCAGGAAATACTGTAACACGAAATGTCAGTCAAAAGCTTATTAGCATAAATACGATCTTAGGCCTCCAACGTACAGGCTTTTTCTTCATTACCTTTTTTTATTCAGAACAAGCGAGGGAACACAAGGAAAGTCCTGTCCGAGGTCCACCTTGAAAGGAATGAACTTTGTTGTCCAACAATAGCAAAATAAAACAACCAACGAAAACGTTTGCTCTAGTGCAGCGACCGCTTCTTTTCTTGAGACCGCCAGCCGTCCATGGCCTGGCCTCCTATCATGGTCTGGGGATGAGGGGTACCGTGTGTACTTTGTGGGGAGGACTTTCCTCCGGGGCAGGGCTGGGAGAGTGGTCCACTGCTGTCTTCGAGTCTGGAGACTGGTGATGGCGAGAAGGCAGAGGGTGGTGGTGTCTTTTTTAAAATAATTTTACTCTGAGGCCTCCTGCAGCTCTTATCACAATCGCTGCATCCATCCATCGTGCCAAGCGTATCTGTATATAATGTTGCCATCATCCTTTTCAAAACATTTTCTTTCTACTTGAGCCCTTGGTATCAGCTCCCCCCCCCACCCCATCCTTCTCCCTCCCTCAGAACCCTGGATAATTTATCTTTTTGTTTTTTCCACGTCTTACACCAACCACTGTCTCCCTTCAACTACTTTTCTGCTGTTCGCCTTGTCTTCGGTTGGGTTGCCACTTCCAATGACTTATGAATTGGCTGCTGAAGTCATGTTAAAGGACAACTGGAAAGCCCCTTAAGTAGTTAACCGGGTTAACCGGGCCCTGTTGAAAGGATTATTCAAGAATAGATTACTGGGCTCTCCAACAGTGCAGCTAGCCAGGAAAGAGGTCAACTCACACGTTTCTGCTCACCCATTCTGATAGGGCCACAAGGATTGAACAATGGGACTTTCTTCCTAGAGGGAGGAGTTCAGGTCAAAGCAGTTTAAAATGTCAGTAAGGGCTTCTGTCTCTCACGGTTAGTTGACAGTCTGCAGGGTAGATTTTCTCTCGGTGGTTCTTTTTGTTTGGTTTTTGCTTGTTCCCCTTCCTTCATGAGCGTGAAATGTGCTTGCTCCAGGCATGTTTTGGCAAGTGCCTTCCCTGGGGTTCCTGCTGTTCTGCCCGTTGATTGTGACTGCTGTGTGAGGTCAGCCGAGCCTGGCCAGAGCTGCACCCCCAGCATCCTAGCTGATGTCCTGATGGGAACAACCATTGCAAGTCTGTCACAAAGAGCGAAAACCAGGCAGAAGAGGAACACTTCGGAGGTTGGGGCCTCTCTCGCCTCAGACCATTGGGAAAACACCCATTAAATAGCTGCATGTCAGTGACTGTCCGGATGACTCTTGAGGTACAGAATCTTTGGAAACCCAAGTCTGCGTGGCGGGTGTGCTGCCAAAGGAAGGTGCCAGGTCCCCCCGAAGGTAGAGCCCGAGAAGCAGCCAGTAGAAGTCTCCACCCTTGCGCCAAACCAGGCCCAGCTTTCCACACCACTGCGGTTCTCCAGCTTGCTTGCTGGAGCAGAGGCCAGCATCCTGTCTTCCGGGCTGACAACTTCATTTTCAGGAGACTACAGGTGACGTTGGTAATTCCATAACCATGAAAACTAGGCTTTGGAGACTGGCCAAAAGGAAAGGGTCTGCTTAGATTGAACAGCTGGTTTGACTGCAGGCTTGGGCCTCTCAAATGGGATTTGCTCTGGAAAAACATTTCATACAGATTTAATCTAAAGCTAAGCCTACCAGGTGGGACCAGCCGAGCTTTCACATTCCCATCTAGCAGTTACACTGGCCTGTACCAGTGGTCTTAAGTTTGCGGGGAGAGAGGGGGCTTAGTTTCCTCTTTGACTCCCCAGAGAACATTTGGCAATGTCTGGAGGCATGTTTGGTGGGTAAAACTGGGAGGAGGTTGCTCCTGGCCTCTACCCGTTTAAACATCCTACAGTGCACAAGGCAGCCCCTGCCCATCCAAGAGTTCCAGAGTGTCAGTGGTACCTGCCTATAGACCCTGGGTGTGTTCTGCTCTGATTTCTTGGCAGTTCAATTATCACTTAAGAATAAAGCCTGGGGATTGTGGTGCTTGGCGCACAGCGTTTTGCATGTAAAAAGTAACACCTGCCCAGTGTTCAAACCAGGAGCCCAGCTGGCATGCCTTGGCTTGGTAACCTCAAGATCAGGATTTTGAAATGACCAGCTAGCGGTTCCATGGGAGAAAAACAGGCTTTCTATTCCCGTAAAGAGTTCCAGCCCTGGCAACTCCCCAGAGCAGTTCTACCCTGTCCTGTAGTGCTGCTGGAAGGCAGAATCAACAGATGGCCGTGCGTTTGGTTTGGTTTTGCTTGGAGTGCTTTGGCTTTTCCGAAGCTGTGGAGAGAGGACAGTGGAAGTACAGTCTTGGCCACTTGGTTTTCTGGAATCTGTCAATGGTTGATGCAACTCTGACCCCAGGGGCCTGTTAGAAGCAGAGGAACCTGCCTCGGAAATGCCTTTTCTACATGATCCTGGTCACAGAGGACCACAGAAAGGGAGCGTCAAGCTGACCCCGGCAGCTGCCTCTGGAGCCGTCTCCTGTGGTCTCCCTTGTCTCCTCTCTCAAGTGTTCCAGATGGGACCTTGTGGGGCGCTGTGAAGCCATTCCTGACTCGCGGTGACCCAGTGCAACAGAACTGCCCCATTGGGTTTCCTGGCCTGCTCTTGCATCCCACAGGGCCATTGGGTGGGTTTGAACTGCCAACCTCCGGGTCAGTGGTGGAGCGCTTCAGCGTTGGAGCCCAGATGGTTTTACTCAGGCAGAAGGGCAGATCAGATGGGGGAGCTGAGGGCCGAGCCCAGCGCTCCTGGTCGGGGTGGGCCCTGGCTGCTGCTCCACCTGTGGGTCCCGCTTCAAGGGTCTGCCTCACTCCAGTGAGGGTCCTAAGAACCTGTGCTTTTTGCACATGCTTTGTTCCTAACTTACTTCCCTTGTCCTCGGGACCATTGTAGTTGGCACTCCAGGGTGTAGAAGGCCCTAGTCCCTCCCCACCAGTTCCTGTGTGGAGGAAGAATTCCTCAGCCGCTGGATGGAAATGTGCTGCGTGGTCTGTAGATTTGGTTTCACTCGCTGCCAAAACGCTGGTCCCAGAGGGACTTGGGGACAGAGCACTTGGCTTAAGAGGGAATTTAATTGTGCTCATCAGGAAGGAACTGATAGACTCACAAATGGACATTGGTTTTTCCTAGAATGGGATAGCACTTTCTGGGTTTTCCGTCTTGGGTGTGGGAGCCTACGGAGTTGGTGGGGGCAAGGGCCCATGTTCGCTCCTGGGCTCGGCTTCCAGTTGTCTGCGGCTGCACCCTCTCCACAGAGTGCATAGGGCACCCAGACAGAGGACCGTCTAGTGCTAGTCCTCCACCTCCTGTTGTGCGGGGAGGAATTCAAGGTAAGTGATCTGGCCAAGGTCACAGGTAGTCAGCACCGAACAGGGCCACATACAGACCATTCTTTAGAAAAGGCAGTATCGGGAATGGCTGATGCCAATGTGCCAGGCTTGGCTGGTGACTGCTCTCGGAGCTCTATGGACGTACCCGTCTGCACTGTATGTAAGTGGAGCTGCAGGGAGGGGTCAGTCTTGCCAGCAACCTTGGGCTTTGGCTCCAGCATTTTCCTCTCTGGCTTTTCCTGTGAGGATCCTTAGTTTCAGCTCCACAACTCCATCTCTATGTAAGTTTTTAGAAGGAAAACTCTTACCTTCATTCAAAAGCAATTTGAGTTAACTTTTAACCGAGTCACCTGCCCTCACCCACATAGGGAATTCCAATGCAAAGCAAGCACTGGTTGTGTCCTCAGTCACCCCACTTTACCTGTGGCAGGCTTTCCTTTTCCACATTGGCGATGGGCCTCCAAAAATCCGTCTTCCGGTCTCATCTTTCCATAAATGTTTTGAAGCCTCCCTCCCCACCCTTACCTTCAGCTCTTTGAGTGGAAGGTGTCACATGGATTTGTGGGCAGTCTTCCCAGTGGACTTGTGGGATGCTTCTAGAAGAGGATGGTATGCTCTAACTCAGCGGTTCTCAACCTGTGGGTTGCGACCCCTTTGGGGGTCAAATGACTCTTTCACGGGTCACCTGATTCCTAACAGTAGCAAAATGGCATTTATTTAGTAGCAAGAAAAATAATTTTATTTGGGAGGGTCACCACAACATGAACTGTATTAAAGGGTCGCGGCATTGGGAAGGAGAACCACTGCTCTAAGTGCACCAAGCTGTGCTGCATTGGGCAAGGCATAGTTCAGCCCCTCAGGCATCTCTGGCTCCTGGGCTGTAGGGGGTCTCTAACTGGCTCCTACCTAATCTACCTTGGGCGGTTGTGCACTGTCAGGAGAGCTCATTGATTGGCTGGGCTCTTTTCTAGCTGCCTCCCCCCACCGTGCTCTCTTCTGAGTCAGTTCAAGTTGGAAGCGAGACTCGTTTCTGGGGAGTAGGGTGCTGGGCACATCATTCAGGTGGTCACTGGGCTTAGGATTCACACAGGCTTGTTTCTGGGACTAGAGGGAATCCCTTTGGAGGTTGGGGGCTTAGCTACACGAGGGGGCTTCAGAAGTTCTTTGTCAACAGAAAAGTGCTATAAGACCATGGGATTTCCCCACCCTTTTTGAAACCCCCTTGTGTTTTTACAATGAAAGCTGTGATCTGGTTCGGGAAGCAGGATTTGTCGATTTCCTTTGTGATCTGTTGGGGTGGCCCAGAGCCAGGTGGCAGTGTCCCATGTGAGGTCCCCATAAGTCACAGGCTGACTTGACAGGAGCCAACCAGTCCCTCTCACTAAGATCGTGGTCCCGTCACTTGGGGCTTCAGGCTGGGCTCAGCGAGCATGCATCCTGGAGTGCGGCCCAGGCCACCCCAGCCCTCTTCTGCCACCATTTTGCATGTTTCCTTGGGCCCTGGAAGGAAAGGCTTAAAGGGACAACAGGATGTGGTCTAGCTGAGAACGCAGCTTTGAAACCAGCCAAGCCAAGGTTTGTTAGTTAGGGACAAGGAAAGCAGAGCCTCCGGCCTGGGGAGAGGACCTTTCCTGCTCACTTGCTCAGGGCAGTCTGAGCAAACGCTTGGACTCACACCTCCCCAACAAGCACTACATGCAATGAGCCTCGGGGGAGGGCCAGCCCCCACCAGACTGGGTAAAACTGGCCTCCAACACAGGTTCGACTCTTTTAAGTTTTATTGAAACAAGGTGATAGTCATTTCATGCTTTGAGAACAAAAAAGGGAGCTGGGAATTCAGGTTTACCAAATAAACCCTGGACACCAGGGCCCTTGTCCCACCCCTCACCCTCTGCGGGCAGCTCTTGGGAAACTGAGTCAAAGAACCCGGTCCTTCACTTGGTCCACGAGGCCACCGTCTACTTTCGGATCTCTTCAACCTCCTCCCTCGGGGCAGAGAGGTGTTGGGCCCGGCGGCCTGGGCTGCCATTTGAAACAGGTGGGTGCCTCTCCATCGCCATGGTTTTGGTTTTTAATAGTAATACTCGCGCCTCAGAGTGACTCGAACTGAAGCTGGGCAGGCCGGCCTCCCCGCCCCAGCAGCGGGGCCTGGGGGTGGCTCAGCCGGCTGGAGAAAGCGGTAGCAGTCTGGTGTCTGTTTGGAGGTCAGATTATTGCTGAGCACATGTCACGTGATCCATGGCCCAAGTGTGGTGATGGAACGTTGCCTTAAGGCCCTACAGTCGACCACCTCTGGGATATAAAAGGTTCTTAGTGCACCAAAGTATAAGAAGTAAGTGAGAAACTTCATCTGGAAATCAGACAGGTTCTAATTTCTATAGAAACGTCCCCTCTCTGCGACAGAATGGAAGAGAACCTATTGCTTTGATTACAGTGGAGGACAGGCAAGGCCAACCGTGCGCGTGCTGCTAGCGCCACCGCCACGTCCCGACTGGGGCGAGACTGGGAAGATGCACAGAGTCAAGGAATTCTGTGTGGCCTCGGTGCCCTGCCTGGCGGTCCTGGCTTGAGAACGCCCTCCGTGACCAGGTGGGTGGATGGAGACTGAGTGGCACCTGTCCCTTCGCAGTGCCATGCGGTGGCTGCAGCTCACCTGGGCGGGGCTCGAAGCCTCTGGGGTGAGGACCGTTGCAGACACGGTGCTCCTGGAGCTGCTCGAGCCTGAAACAGACCTTCAAGTAGAGCTTGGGCCGGCATGAGCTGTCCCACCGAGTGTGAAATGAGCGATGCGTGGTCCATTCCCGCTCGCATGAAGCATGCCCGTGGAGCCCGGTGGCCCGGGCTGCCCCCTGCGGCCTGACCACTCCCAGCTCCTCATATGGGCTTGTAGAGCAAGGTGGTGACGTACTTCTTCTTGTACCGGTGGGTTGCGCTCAGCACCATCACGCCATCCTACGGAAGAGGGTGAACACGACCTATGGCTGTCTAACCTCCCCCTGCCTGAGGATCCACAAAGATACAGAAGGGAAACACCGATTCCTGGGCCCACCATCAGAACCTGAGCGTGCAGGTCTGCAGGCGAGCCCATGACGCCAGGGCACCTCAGACCCCACCAGAGACACAGCTCTGGTGACAAGAAATGGCTCATTACCTTGATGGAGAGAGCATACAGGTGGTTCAACATGACGTGATTGGGCTCCGGGAGCAGGGCTGGATCACACTGTGGGCACACAGGCAGGTTTGAGCACCGTGAATAGCCACAGCCCCAAGACTACCACCTTCCTAAACTGCAGCCTCATCCCTGTCGTCTGAGGGCGGGGGTGGCACGAAGCGCTGGCACTCGGAGCACTTCTGGTGAGAGGGAGGAAGACCAGCTCTTCCCCCGGGCCTCACAGGGACCGAGGAACGATCCTCTGGGCTCAGGGTGGCCAAGTAAAGAGCCAGCGGAATTATCCAGCCCCGTAGTGATGCCGAGTATGGGTCTGAGCAGCTGGCCCTGCGGACCATACCACCTCATGAAGAAAGGAGAGTAGCCCATGTGTTTTCTGGGCAATGCCAGGTGTGGCATCCAGTGACTCACCGAGATCCCTGTGTCCTTGTTCAGGATGACTTGCAGCAGGTGGGGCGGGAGGATGGGGGGCGCCTTAAAGCGTTCCTCTGGCTTACAGATGTAGGGCTCCTGGTGGTAGGGCCCGGGCGGGGAACTCGACAGCTCTGTTGGAGAGGACAACAGATGACAAGACATTGACACTGACTTTGACAAGTGGGACTTGTAGGATCAGGCCTGTTTCACAATGGCGGTCATCTAGTTTTCTTGTGTCTTAGCCCCTCAAAACAGGCCGGCAGTCGCTGTGTGTTCCAGGAGTACACTCCGAGGCTCTGGCAGGAGATAGTGCAGACTTGACTAACCACGAGGCTGGTGATTTATCGCCCGAGCCTCACAGGGAAGCTGGCAGACGGGGGGGCTGCAGGTTCCCGGGAGACTTCCAGTGTATATTGTGGGAGAATGCCCGAATTGGAGCTGTCAGTCACAACAGCACAGAGGACAGAACAGCCTGTACGTCTCA